AAACATAAGGGGTATCTCTTGTAGACAGAGAAAGTTGTTTGTTTGTTGGTTGGTTTTGTCTACTCTAATATTCAATGCCTTTTGATTAAAACATTTCACCTATTTATATTTAATATAATTATTGAGAATATGCAATCTGGTTTTATTTTGAGCCTTTCCTTGGCAAATTTATTGGATCACCTTATGGTTGGCACAATTAGATAATTTTACTTTCAAAGTAGAACTTAGTAAGCTAATTAACTGATATACTTCCTAAAGAAGGATTTTAAAATTCTTTTTATTTGTTCCAATTACTTATACATAATAGTAGAATGTATTTTGACATGTTATACATATATGGAGTATCACTTCTCATTCTTCTGGTTGTACATGATGTAGAATTGCATTGGTCATGTAATAATATATGCACATGGGAAAGTAAAAGTCTGATCCATTCTACTATCTTTCCTATTCCCATTAGCCCTCCATTCCCTACTTCCCCCTTTGTCTAATCCAAGTTACTTTGATTCTTCCCTACCTAACTCCCTCATTGTGAGATAGCATCCACATATCACAGACAACATTTGGCCTTTGGCTTTGGGGAATTGGCTTATTTCATTTAGCATGATAGTCTCCAATTCCATCCATTTACTGGCAAATTCCATAATTTCATCTTTCTTTATGGCTGAGTAGTATTCCATTGTTTATATATAACAAATTTCTTTATCCATTCATAGGTTGAAGGTTTCCTAGGTTGGTTCCATAGTTGAGCTATTGTTCATTGAACTGCTATACATATTGATGTGGCTGAATCACAGTTGTATGCTGATTTTAAGTCCTTTGATTATAAAACTAGGAGTGGGATAACTGGTTCAAATGGTGGTTCCATTTCAAGTTTTCTGAAGGATCTCCATAGTGCTTTCTAGTGTGGTTGCACCAATTTGCAGTCCCACCAGCAATATATGAGTGCACATTTTCCCCCACATTCTCACCAACATTTACTGTTACTTGTATTCTTGGATGATTGCCATTCTGACTGGAGTGAGATGAAATCTCAGTGTGGTTTTAATTTGCATTGATGCCAATTTAATTTCAATAATATACAAAATGTTTGCTCCAATATAGCTACATTCATCCTCTTCCTTCTTTTCAATTATATCTTTATACATCATAAACTGAATCTTTATTATTTTATGCAAGTGTCTTTTAATTTAGATATAAGAAATAATTACAAATAAAATACATGTACACTATTTTTATATTTACCTATGTATTCACCTTTACTGGTGCTCTTTATTTCTTGGTGTGGACTTGAATTACTGCCTTCATGATTCTGCCTTGCAATTGTGATTGACTATTTCTCACACTAGACTTATTTGTTATCACTTAACATTACTGTGTTAATTTTAAGTTCTCCAAGAAGAATATTAAAAAATAAAAAGAGACATAAGAGGGTAAGGAAAGAGCTGGGAAGTAGAAGGTCTTTCAAACTCTTCTGAAAGTAGAAATATAGTCTCAGACCCAAGTATACACTATAGTTCATCCCAAATGCCTCTTGCAGTACCAGAAACAGTACGTGCTTAATAAATATTTATGAGATGAATTAACAAAAGTTCATGCAGTCTTGAAGATTGAAGTGTTGTTAAACTCTCTGAAGGATCAGAACTGGAAATAATGCTGACACTATGCACACAGGGCCAAGCAAGCCAACGTTAAGAAGTTCTTAAACAGAAGATTTTAGATAACAGTCTGTAGAGTTTTCTAAGTCATATTGTCAAAAAAAAAAAAAAAGTAAGTAATTGATTTCAGCAAAGCAATAGCTAATTCTTTTAATGAGGCTTAAAGTTCTTGAGAAAGTTGAACAAGGGCACACAGTTCACTTACTAATAATCTTATGCTTACCAATTCAAAAGTATATAACAGATTCCCTCCATCTCCATAATTTTAAACAAATAGGACAGGCCTTCATTTGATGGCTCACTTGATGTAGCCTATGGCACACATAATGCCTTACAACTCTGTTTATAGTCACTAGCAGTTGGAAATTGAGAGTTGCTCAAGCAGAATTCTACATAATTACCCATTTGAGGTTAATTTACTTTATTGTGGCTGCTAAAGTGAGCTCAGCTGAATTTGCCATTTTCCATTCCAATCTGTTTTGTAAATGTTTTTACTTTCACAGCCCAGGCATTTTACTGCAATCTTCTGAATCATGTGGTTTGCACTAACCAGGACAGTTCATCAACAAGAATGTGGATTATTTCTGAACCTCTAATACAATTTTGAAGTATTTTAGAGTTCATGCAATTGTGAACTATAAGCTTAATTAAGTTATGAAGACATAAATTGTTTGGAGCTTGGTAGTCATTCATTTATTCAAAAATGGTTTTGGAATACTTTCTATGTGAGGCATCTCGTAAGGAATGGGGTACAATGGTAACAAGGCAGGTCTTTGTACCACCCTTAAGGTGTTTTAAATGAATGTTAATTTATAAATAAATAAGTAAATATGAGTTTCTATTATGCATAATGCACTAATGAGTAAAACTGTGGAAGGGGATGCTCTTAACACTGAGCAGTTTCAGCATCTCAATCTAAATAAAAATATCTTCATTACTCTGTGCTCACTGAATATTTTTTCTTCCACAGTAATTTTTTCTAGGTTTTCTTAAAACATCTCTGAGTTAACTGGGCAATGTATTCTTCCACGTCCCCCTTCACTTAAACCCTAAATACTTTCTCATATCTTCTCATTTTTTAACTAAAGCATTTATTGAGCAACAGATATGTATTGAGCATTGTTAACTGTAGTGATACAAACATGAAGGCTATAGTGTATTATCTTAATTTAATACAGTAAAAGAGTCATTATAAGGTAATTTACAAGTGCTATGAAAGAGGTTCATTTATAAAAAGGCAGTCCTATTCAACAATTCAACACATTATTTTGGAAATATAAGCAGAATTGGTTTAAAAGCCAAATAACAGCATATACTATTAAGGTATTTTATTTAATGAGCAGTCTCTATGCTTTAGGTCCTTAATTAGTCTAACGTATGTAACCAATCTGTGAGGTGGATGCTATACAACCCCACTCTAAAGATGAAAGTGAGGCACAAAAAAACAAAAATTAAGCCATTGACAAGATTATGTAACTACTAAGTGACATTGTTAGGGTGTAAAATTCATGTTGTTTGGCCTTTGGGTCTGTCAATTTTACTTCTTTATACTATAGTATTCCAGATTATCCACCCCTCAGCTTGCAAAAAGATCCCCATAGCCCTGTGACCTTCTGTGTCTTTAATAAGGAATGCTTCCCTTCTTCATGGTCAAGATTATACGTACGACACATTTCGGCTATTGAAAAGTAAGGAGGCATAACATATGCCACCTCACAACAGAAATTTTAAGCCACATTATTCATTTCTTCCAGCTTTCTGCTCCTTCTCTCAGCCCCAGCATGCCATGTCTAAGGAAGCACTGTTTACTCAAATGGGAGCACAGCCATGGCAAATCCCCAGCCCTGACATGAAACACAGAGTGACACAGAACTGTTGCTGCAAACCACATCCACCTTTTTATAGCACAATAATCAGTGAAAACTTACCAACACAATTATACACCCCAGGAAGTGGGATGCTACATTAACAAAACACCATAAAATATGTGGCCTTCGCTTCATGGGTAGGTGGAAAATGTTGAGGAAACTCACTGGGATCAAGAAAATCACCACTCATGTTTTACAATGGTTCACATTTTGGGATTTTTTAGATAAAAAGGTTGGGGAATGGAATGCTAATAAACTTTGCTATTGGTTGCACTTAAAGGTCATAAAAGAAATGGCCTCTTAGCAAAAAATTGAGAAAATTGGAAATTATACAACATATTTGGAAGATGCAAGTATTGCTCATATCCAATCAGTATATACAGGATCTTAAAAAAAAATGCTTTGAATGACAAGAGTCGAATTCGACATGAATGAAGACCCAACCCCAATGACCAAATAATAGGTCTGTGAAATCCTTTTAACAAATTAAGATGGTCCTGATAAGTTCTTTCAGTTCAGTAAAATATGTCAAAGAAAACAGAATAACAGCATGGCTTTTCACTAACCTGATAAACTCAATGTAATGACAATAATTTTAAATAAGGACAAAAATACATTTTAAAAAATACATCTTTAAGAAGTGTGTCATTTTAAGATACAACTTACAAAATACAGAAGGCTGACCCATATTCTTTTTCTGTGCCTTTATAAACCACTTCGAGTATGTGTTAGTGATTTCATTCAAATCATCAACTTAATACTTCAGCACTTACATGTTGTAGGTCTTAGATTCCATACCCCTTCACTATGTCTTATTCTGGTTCCCTGTACTTATATAATTAAGGTGATTTTCATCCTGCATCTGACTCTGCTCCTTTGTATGTGTTACTCGGTGACATAAAATGAAGCTTTTAGCTTCTCGCAAGCATCATTCCATGATGAATGTTTGGTAAGTGAATAATTTGAGTGAAGCAATACAAGCCTTCGCCGACACAGCGGAATTATCTAACAGATTGCAATAACTCAACTGGGAATTATTAAAGTTTTTAAAAATCTAAATGAGACTTGATTCTTCTACCCTTCTAAAAATGAGATCTCTGAAGTTGGAGATTTAACCCATTAGTTAAAATTTAAATCTTATTTTAAAATATTACCTTCTAGATATAGTCTTAGAAAATTTAAAGAAATTTTTATTTGCTTCTTCTCATAAAGAACAAAATTAATAATGTTATTCCTATACAAAAATCAACCCAATCACTGAAGTTAAATTTTGGCCATAAATTTAAATTCCTTAAGACAAGACTTACGGTATTCCCTACATATCACTCTAAAAAAAATGTTAAGACATATATTTCCATGGCTAGGGCCTCATTATTTTATGATCCTTTGCTGAGCATGGTATGTGGCACAATGCATTCTTAAATTTTAAGCACATCCTAAAGAAAACACATGCAAATTATTTGGCATTACATACCTGTCGGCACCAGAGTTTCCGGAATATTTGCAGATAAGCCAACACCATAAGACACAGGGGTGCCATGTATGTCACAAGAAAGAAACAGATGTGATACATCTTGGGGTAAATTTCACCTGGGATGAAAGTTAAAATAATAAAATAATTTTTCCTTCAGAGTCTGCATTTAGTCTTCTTATGGTTTTATCAGCACATTACATATAGATATAAAAAATAATTGACAATATTGAACTACTTAAATTTACTCAGTATATGTGTATACATATACATGTATACGTACACCAAATGTGAAGTTGTGATTTCACTTTGTGTACTTATTAGCCATTCCTAATTTGTACTACCATAATCTATCCAAAATCAAATATTCCTTTATTGAAAGGCCTTTATTTCGATAAGTACTAAACATTAATTGGGATTGTTATGTTTCTATTTACAAAAAGGGACTTGACTTGATCAAAGCCTAATAAGGAAATCTTTGGTTAAAGTGGGAAGAGAATAAAAGCTCAATTGATTCCTTCTCATTAGAATATAAATTCCCTGAGAAATTGGGAGGTTGTTTCCCATTGTCTTGAATGAAATGTCTAAAACTTTTGGAAAAATAAATACAATAAACATTTGATGATTCTTTTTGTTGACTTACTGTAACACATACAAAACTTCTCTTAAAACATAGAACATGTGTGTGTGTGTGTGTGTGTGTGTGTAGAAGAATATGTGAATGCACTTTCAATGAAAATGAGAATTTTAGAGCTTTTTAAAGTTAATTTTTAATCCAACATGGGATTTTTCTTTATTATAAGCATATCACTTTTTAGGAATGAGTTCCTTTAGGCTTGTAGTGGTTTTAAAAATTTATCCTTAATCTAAATACACCAATGATGTTTATTACTAATTAGACATTTCACTGAAGAGTTGATTAATTAGTTACTTAATGGCATTGTGGCTTACTGTTAACATTATACCATTTCTAAATTACTTCTATCACTGACCTTTTATTTTGTTGTTGTTTTGTGGTGCTGGGGATCAAATGAAGGACATGCACATGCTGCACAAGCACTCTGCCCTACCACTGACTTTTTAAATGCTATAGAAAATGTTTTCCCTATGCTAGTATTTGGATATATCACAAATATACCTATTTTAACTGTAATGTAAAATAAAACAGTATATATTACACAGATAAGATTCATATTAAACCTAAAACCTCAATAAAATTGTAAGTGGATGCTAACAAAACAAAGTTATTATCATTTCGTTCTAAAACCACATGCCTTATTTTGACCTTGATATCGGCAAAAGGGTTAGTTCTATACTATTACAGAGAGGTAATGCTACCCCCTTCATGAAATATTTTCTTTATTACTTCAGAAAGGGTATGAATGATGAAAGATTAATTATGTGATCAAAATTCTGATAAGGGAAATTTATTGTCAGGATTTGCCAACATTAAGTCTGATAATGACCATAATAATGGATAACATTTATGTGGCAATCATCCACTTTATCCTTACTGAAAATATTTTAAACCTTTCTATGCATTTAATATTCTCCATATTCTCTATTCCATAGTTTGTTGTCCTGAGTTGGTTGAACTTGAGTCTAATATTCTCTGTATTCTCTCTTCTAAAAATATCTTATTTCTCTGTTTTTTTCTTCACTGTAATCTTCTGAAGGGACAGCAGGATGCATGTGCTGCTAGGAGGTCTAAGAGACCAATTTGAGCTGTCATTTTTAGCTCTGCCTGGCGCAGAAGGCACTCACCTACCTCATCAGTTTCTAACTTCCTTTCAAGTTTATCCTGTAAAACCGGCCAGTGACATAAAAAGTGATAGAATTCAAGCAGCCTGACTGGAGGAATAACAAATAGTATTTCCCTTTGAAGTGCTACAGCCTGAGATGCATTTGGTGGGCCAATTTCAAAGGAATTGGGAGGTGACCTCAGCACTTTTCAGGCACCTAAGTGTCTTTGAACTTTTATTTGTTTTGAAGAAAGTGTCACATGAGCTTTCCACATTAGAAAACAAAAATTTATCTTTGAAGCTTACATACCTGTGAAGCCCTGATGTCTGCATTAGACTAAATTGACTGAGGGAAGGAAAGTAGATTTTATAGCTAACTTTTTAAAAATATCAACACTGTGATAACAGTTTTGGGTTTTGAACAGATGGGTGCAAAAGCTTATTCTGCAGCTTAGTGTACTTATGAATAGTTGGAAAAATATGTAATTGGCTAGTAAATGCATATTATGATAATGAACACTGAGATGGAGATCAGTTGATCAAACAAAATTATATTTCCAGGCAAGGATAGATTGTTTTAATAAGGAGGTTATAATAGATAATTGGGGAAACATGATAGTCTTAAATTCCTCATTTTGTGCTGAGAGCACAGGCCAATAGGAAACCCACATATGCCACTGAAAATTTAAAATGTACATTGAAAATATCTCTGAAACCTTTCTGCAGTAGATAAGCAATGTCTTCTAAACATTATATGACACTTATATATAACCTACAATGGAGCTGTATAAAATGTGTTTCACTGGAGGACTATTTTAATTAGAAACCAGCATTTCAAAGATGGACAAACATTAAAAAATCTTTGTCTCTATTCACTTGGTGGCAGCTACAATCTAAATAAATATTTTGCATAGGTGTGTATGTTTCATATATATGTTTATACACACATATACATATCTAAAAAATAAGGAACAAATGAAGTTCTTAAAGCCATCTTTGAAATCAGAGATTATAGATTCCTGTCATATTACTAAATTTGACCATTGTTTCAAAGCTCATGGGTCCATTTAATGTACCTGAATCTTTAATATGCTTTATTATCTTCTCCTCTAACAAATGTTTTTAATAAATGTTCCAATTAATACACACAAGTACATATTTAAATGCTTTGAAAGCCTCATAATAAGCCACTCTTATAGAAGAGTGCCACTATTTTTTTTCAGACCATCAAAGAATAACTTGTAATATTCAAGAGAAGAGCTTTTCATCAATCCCTAGTGTTCAGAACCATGTTTGACTAACAGTACAGGTTCATTAAAGATTTGCTAAATGAGTAGTGAAGTGATTATTTTTCTGACTGTGCAAAAAGAAATTACTTCCTTCTCAATAGATTTTTATCATGTGGAACCATGAATTTACAAACCAAGCATTCGAGAAAGTAGAAATATAATTCTGAAACAATTTTTTTAAACCTTAGGAGTATGAGTTGATGTCAGTGGAGCAGTGAACACATACAAAGAGAAGAGCTATTCACCAAGATCCTTAAAATCAGTAGTATGAATATACTTCATATTTCCTTAAGTATACATGTGTCTATCAGAATATGTGGTTTATAGTCAATTTTTAAAAAACAAACAAACAAAATATTGGCATGATGACTATTATTTGTTTCAGAAATCATTTATCCATAACAGTTATATGTTCTGGATAATATTTCCATTGAGACATGATTCCAAGTTATTTTTTACCACATGTAAAACAGGATTTGCTGGACTTTCTCAGAAGAAATGTGATAGAGATAAATCAACTGGCCACATGGTTTTCCTGACTTTTTCTCCACTGTGATATTGGTTGTAGGAAAATTAAATATCACTGTTTACTTTTATAATTGTATAATTTGTTGAATTTAGGAGAAAGACGAGAAAAAAAAACAGATTGTGAATTAATCTCAAATAAGATAGTGTATTTTACAGCAAAAGTTTTAAAATTGAGTTCAAATGTATTGGGCTTTTAGAAATACTTGAATTTAGAAAAGTGACATTATAAAGTGTACTTTCCTATGATGTTTTTAGGTTTTGACTATAAGACATATCCCAAATTTTAACATCTTTACTTGGATATGGAATTATAAATATTCTACTTGAAAGGACTCATGGAATATAAAATCATTTTAATAAATGATATATCTATAGAACAATAAGATTAGCACCTGGTTGGAATTATTTTGTATTCCTCTAAAAACATTAAGTGATTAGTAACTTCATTAAATATTTAAAAAGCTAATTTACAGCTTTAAGTAAGTTCAAATTGTGGATGTTCAACTAAATTTAATATCACTTAATTTTGACCTTTATAAGCATTTTAAATAAATGTTGGACTCTTTAAAAATCAATTTCAAATAGTTTTTTAAGTGACTCTGAAGACTATTTTTAGATATTCAATAATGTCTTTTATGAAAGAAAATATCCATGCAAGAGTTAGGCAATATAATACAGAGGGAGAAATGAACTTTTTGTATTTATGTTTATTGCTAAAAGGCAAGAAAAAATAATGTGCCCATTTTGTCATATTAATAGTAAATTGATAACAATAACAATAATGGACAGGATTCATAGCTTTATAACTTTTTTGTTAGTAGGAATTAATGCTCCTTAATTACTTAGGAATACATAAGAACTTTATGTGATAGTCCATAAATATGTAATGAAACTAATACCAAAATAGAGAAGATACTCCTGACACATGTTGAATAATAACTGAGTATTTTATCATAATTTATAATCTTCATAATCTTCAAGGATACCAGATTTTGAGTTGGAAGCTTTAGATTTACATGCAGATGTGATTGTATAATCTTGAACAAATAGTTTTATCTCTCCAGCACTCAATTTAGTCATACATTAACTAAAAGATTCTGAGCAACAAACTTTAAGCTGTTTTTCAAATATTGTTAAGGAACTGTATAAGAAACACAATGTCACAATCTGTCCTCAACATACCTTTTTTTCAAATTTTATTTTTTAGCCTATCTGCTCTGTGTTCCAGAAGCGATAAATTCCCATTAGTTGGGTTCCCATTAGGTGGGTTTTCTACTTCCTGGTACACCCCTTTCCTCTTCCAGAATTCCCACTTATTTTTAATGCTTTGCTGAAATGTTCATAACTCCTCTGTAAACTTTTGTCCAAATGGCTAGGACTAAGTTTGTTCTCTCATTTGTGTTCCTAACACTTTGACTAGATTAGATTAAATAGTGATCACACTATAAATATTTGTTTATTTGCTTTTCAGCCTCACTATAATGAATATGCTCAATTAGGGAGAGTCTATTTCTCTTCAGGCTGGCAAAATTCATGGCACACTCTAAATATTCATAATGTTGTTTGAACATTAAATAAGTGGGACACAAGGCACTTATGAAACATACCTACAATATTGGAACTTTCCATTCATTTTTTTGGTCTATATTATTAAAGGAAAAAATTATAAGATTGAAGATGATCCAGAAAATAAATATGGAAAACCAATTCTGATTTTATAAAGGAAGTGTAAATCTACATTTTTTAAAAGATTACTTAATATTTGGGGTAATAAAATTTGGGTGAAATTACTGTTTTTGGCAGGTCTTATGACAATATAAGATAATCCCAGTGTCTTTTTAATTTTATATTGCTATAATGAAAGCATATTTCTCAATTACTGATTTTTCTCCTTTTTTGTGTTCAAAAAAAGCACCAAAGTCAGAATTATCAGAAATTCAAATATTCAAACATTTGAAAATAACATATCTATAAACAATTCTTGGGGTACACTGCCTTTTAACCCATCTTTTTAATAAGCATAACTGTGCCTTTTTCTCACAAACAAGGACTCTACTATGTTTAAGTTGCCTAAATATGAGGTAGGCAATACACTTATCCGAAAGAAATCACATTGTTTTCTTCCTTCATGTGATAGTTTTGTTACTGCTGTATGCTATGTGAAATGCAGGATTACTTTCTATCATTGTTTGTTATATCTAGGATTGTGCCAGCACCAGGTATAGACAAAAATGTTCCCATACTTACTAGTTTTGAACCAAAGGAGCACTTCTGCTTATTTAAATTTTGCTATTGTACATGTCAGATGGAAAAACAGAAATGATTCCTAATTAACATAACTCCTTGATCAGATAACATTTATTCCAATGATAAAACTCATCAACTGATGTGTTGAAAAGAGAGAAAGCAAATTTGAATAATACCACTCAGAACAATACAAGTCCACATAGTCACCTCTGGTCTTGTTCCAAGGACATGTTTCCAGGATGTGGTTTTAAAATAGACAGCAGTTGCATTTGAGGTTCATCAGAGGATTTGAAACTTGAGACAACATGAGGTTCAACCATTTTAGAAGATGCTAACTATTCTAGAATATATATATTTTTTATTTGTATTATTTGACTGCTTTTTAATAGAATTTAAGAAAAATGAAAATAACAAAATTTGGACTATAGAATAAGCTTCTTCTTTCATTTCCTTTCTGAAAAATTTGGACACTGGAAAATAGTGCATATAACATTTTCAAAGGACTAAGGTGGAATTATTCTATAAAATTGTTTTGGGTTTCAACTTGGTTTTCACACTTGTGCAAAACCAAATTAACAAATACCAGTGAGATACATAAGCCCAGCTTTATAATGACTATTTTTGGTTTTCAGGTGTAATGTTAATGTCAGCTCATGGGCCATAATGTGCTTACCTCCCCAGTGCTCATCACATACTGTAAATAGAGTGGTTTTATTAGCTAAGCCGGGGAGCATGGTACTGCACTCCATGACGATGGCCTGAGGAATCATTATGATGCAGGAGACAATCCAGATGATGACAATGCTATTCCGGGCCCGCTTGGCTGTGCTCTTGAACATCAAAGGGTGACAGATTGCATACCATCGATCCAAGGCAATGCAGCTCAGTGTTAGGACAGACACAGACACAGACACAGTCTAGAGGAAGAGAACAAAGTACAGGAGAAGCATCAAGTGTCAAAATCATTGATTATAGCATATTTACCATATTACAAAGGTAGCACAACCAAGATTGCCAAAAAGCAATCATGCAAGTGATTTCTATTTAAAGAAAGCTATGTAAAAAGAAGAAACAAAAATAGAAGTCTGCTACTAACATTACTATGACGATTACTATCATGATTCTGTTTACCCACTTAGCCATTGACAGGGGAAATCATATCCTTGGATGGACAGAAATAAAACTTATATGAGTGATATGAACTGGAAAATTCTCTTTCACTTAAAGACAATAACATAACATGTCTTTCCTCTAAATCATCATGTAGGGATTTGATTGAAATTATATTCAATTTTCCTACTTGAATTCTGAGTACCTCATTTCATATTTTCAGATAATAAGGGATATTTGTACTTTGATATCTAATATGTTTCATCCAAATAAAGACATGAGTCATGTGACAAGAGAATTCTATATATGGATCTCCTTACCATAGTTTGCTTACTGTTAGCATAAACAATTTGCCTCTTAACAATCAGATTAGGTTCACCCAGTCCAGCAGTCCAGATTTCTAAATATTACCACCACAAATGATTCTTTGTCTTGGAGATTTAAGGAAATAATAAGCATTTAATCTTATTTCCACACAAAATGTAATATGTTTAATGGATTCTTCTATACTGAATGAAACATTGATCCTGATATTAGTCTCAAAATTCACCCTTAAAAATAGAGGGTCCTTCTTATTTTCTTCTTAGTACTAGTCATATGATGGATTACTTATTTAATTTGTTCATTTGTGTGTATGCTCTATTGCAACAAAACCCTATGGCAGAAAGAGTTATTTTTTTTCCACAACTGTGTCCTGAAAACCTAGCACAGCATTTAAAGTGCTTTATGTAATTAACACATATTTTTTTTTTACTCAATTAATAGGGGAAAGCCTCAATGTAAAGTAATAGATATAATCCAATCATTTTCCTCTTCTTTTCTGTCTTAATTGTATTGATGCCATAGTGTGCAGCAAGGATAGGTATAATTACTTCATACATAAGGATGCTCATTATTAATACATTTACTACAGGTATAAATAAATGAAAGGGAGCTAAGATTCAGTGAAGAAGAGAAGAAAGGGCTTTGGGTTAACTGTTAGGGTGACCTAGTCTATTCTTACTCTTCCACCAGTGGACTACATAATATTGGGTCAGACAATATTTTACAGCTTTGGACTATGTGTGTATGCGTACATCTGTTAAATGGGAAAAAAAATCAGCAAGATGAGATTTCTATCAACTCTGATTCTTTTGAATCTCTTTGGGAGAGACAGAAAGTTGTAATTGGATCAATTCTAAAACTAGGTTTCCTAGGCAAGAAGCACATCTGGTAGTATTGGGTAAGTTACTAACCTCTTTATTCCTCTATAAAATGTGGATGATAATAGCACACAAAATAGAATTGTAGAGAGAGTTAGTTGAGATCAAAATATGAGCTCAAGACCATCACATAAGTGACAGGCTTATGATTCTTGAGAATTTTTTGTGCTATGTTAGAGTGCCTTCAACTAACTTTCACTTTCTCTCTCTCTCTCTCTCTCTCTCTCTCTCTCTCTCTCTCTCTCTCTCTCTCTCCCCCTCTCCCCTCTCCCCTCTCCCCTCTCTCCTCTCTCCTCTCTAAATTCCACTCCTCCCTTGACCTATTAAAAATGAATCAAGTACCTAGAACCTCTTAATTCCATTGCTAACCCAGGAAATCCACTATGGCAGTCTTGATCTGCAGTTGATTTTTTTCATATCTACTGGGTCAGGGCTATATTTATCCTCCCTAGCAATTAGAAGTATAAAGTGTTCATCAAGGCTTAGTAATTTATTATTCATGAATTTTAATCAACCTGGATGAATGAGATAGAAGTAGCATACTTCAAACTTGAATGTAATTTCTAGTATTTATCACTACTATTATATACTAATAATCAATTCATACCAGCTAACTTGAAAGACTGATGTCCAGTGCCAAAGAGGTACCCAGGGTGCAGCGCCATCTGTTTTGTATAGTGAAGGGAGAGAATACGCTGGTGTGATCCTCACAGCAGAATCCATTGAATGCACCCTTGACAATCAGTGATTTAATATTCACTCTTGCTACATCCATATTTGCAGGTGTATAAGGCACACCAGTATGCAATTAACATCCAATTTACAAGATTTTCTTGAGGGGATATAAAATTTCATCTTACCTTAAGTGATTATAAATGAGAGCTTTGTTGCTGATTTTCACTTCTAGGAGTTTACTTCTGGGTGCCTTTTTCATTTACATGCTGATATTAGCTTGTGTCATCCTGATAGTAAGTCATTTGAGAAATGAGTCTAGTATGAATTATGAATGTTGTTGAACGTGAGATGATGGGAGCAGGTTCTGCCTTCAGGTTCTTGATGTCACTCATCCTAGAGGCACCAATGCAGAGGGCAATGCTTGAGGACTTCCTTTGGTAGAAAAGGATTCTTTTTTGTGCTAGCATAAAGTATGCCAAAAGAATCTCAAAGGTCCATGACAGGTAGGAATAGAAATCTTGCCAAATCATAAATTTGGATGATAGGCACTAATAGATTAGAAAGTAGCAAAATATAAAACCGAGGGAGTAAGAAAGCCTGTCTTACCACCCTACATGCACCACCTACATCTCACTTAGATTTTGTTCTTTTTCTGGGAGTTCCTATGCAGAGCCCGTTATACAGTGTTTTTTAAAAAATAAATTCACTCTGAAAAATAATCATCTGTTCCTGTCATTGAGTGAAATGCATGATTATTTTCAGTCAATATTCTACTAAATGTTAATGGTCTTGGAATTATAGAATTATTAAAAATCTAAAAGGGTCATTTTAATTTTTCAGCTAAGCTTTATTACGTTTGTGAGATTATTAAGTTGTTTGAGTCTTTGCCAAAGTGTAATAGTACATCACTCATAAATCTAAAGGTTGTGTTGTATTTAGAAGAAAAAGAACATATAAATCATCGAAAATTAGTAAATGCCCTACAAATCTTAAGTGGAACCAAATAACCTTAAAATGTGGCTGGAAATTATGTAATGTTTTAAAATATTAAATAGGACATAAATATAACTTCAGAGATAAAATTCATTAGCTTCAGAATATCACATCTAGGGGAAAACTACTCAAGGATTATTATCCATTGGCACTATTTGTGACATTTGGAAAACTTCTATGGAAAGGAAGCAATAAATATTGAGAATTTAGACATAAGTTTTGTCAGTGCATGAAACTCTTTGTATGTTAAGAAGTGATGTTGAATGAGTGAATGGAGAGACGTAGTCATTTCCATTCTGTGACTACTCATTTGTTTCCTCCATGACTTGTGGAGAAGAGAATCAACTGTGGAATCAACTAACTGGACACTGTTTATACAGAAGTAGAACTGAGGATGCTCCTTTAATTGCAGGACTTGCAGTTAAGCATGTGGTATGGATGACCACTGTCAGTGAATTCAGGAGAGATGCCTGCTTGCATCACTTACTGGTTCCTTGCTGCTCCCCCTGTGTGTCCTTTAGTGCTCACAGGGCATCTGAAATACCTGCTCCATAGCAAGATATTGCTATGCATCAGAATAGGGCTGCACCTGCTATAAAGTGATGAACCCCTCCTCATCACTCCATTCCCACTAAAGCTTCTGGTTCACAGAGAAAACACAAAGACACTCTTAGCTAGCTGAAGAATCTGGGTAACTGTAGCCATTCTGAAAATTACAAGAGCCCCATCATTTCCTCCTGGTGGTTATTGGCACCAAAAAGAATAAAAGTTTTCTGGAAGTACCACAGGCAGTAGAATATTAGAATTCTTTGCTCCTTAGAATATTCCCAGTGCCTCTATGCAAACACTGTCAAAGGTATTCATCTGTCTGTTGTTCCTTTTACTATCTCTTGAAAAAATTTTGCTACAGTTCATTTTTTATAATCTGTTCATGGTTTGCAGCAGGCTGACCCAAACTAACCTTACAGTTAAACATATGTGCATGATGCTTACAACTTCTAGGGCATTTTCCATTACTCTGCAAATGATGTCTGACCTTAAAAATTATCACTTCTCTTTATAAGAGGTCACTGAAGAACTATTGAGCTGAAAATCCCATATATCATTTCAGTTCTAAAAGACCAAACAATATAATTTCCAGTAATGAGCTATTTGTGGTCTCCCCCAACTTTCTGTTATCAGAAGCCTATTTTCTCTTCCTGTAAATATTATTATCCCTGCCTGGGAAACTGGAGAGAATAAGACAAGAGGTGGAGGAAGACTATGGAAGACAGGTTGAATAGCCACCATTTCACTTACTGTCCACTTCCTAAAGGGGATCTATGTTTAAATAGTGTGGCTGTGGCCACTATCATGGGAAATTTTTTCCCCAAAAGTCTCAGAACTACAAGATGAATTAGAAGATTACTCTCTTAAAGTATTTGTTTTTAAGGTCTTATATGGCAATTAAATATAGAAAACCTGCCCTTGCTGTTGACTAATAAAACATGCAATAACGATGTTGATAACTGAGGTTTATTGAGAACATATTACGTTTACAAGATCATCAGAGGGTAATCACTCTGCGAAGGCATTTATGTAAATTATCTAAGCAAACTGTCACAACAACATATGAGACAGATCTCATTAAAGATTTCATCCTTGTAAAATAAGTGAATTGCAAACAGTCTGAGTATTTGACTTGATAGCATGCCATTTGTGAACAGCAAAACAATTTCCAAACCAGTTAGCCCCAGAACAACACCAAAACCTGTTCACTGTAGTGCTTGACCCCACAGCTCTTAATTCCTCCATGTGAAAAGAAACCATTGTAAAAACAGATATCCTATTATTTGTACTGGAAGAAACTTAATCATTATTTTTTTTCAAATTCCTTATTTAACAATGGTGAGATTAGAAATCAAAGAAGCCAAATACGTGTGTAACACTATAAAGATAATTTAACAGCTTTGTGTCTCTGTTTTGTACTCAGACCTTAACTTGTTTTTCCAGAAAAATCTCAAGTATTATCTTCCTTAAGTCTGCCAGTTCCTAGCAAAATATAATTCTTTCTCTATTCATTAGTTTACCCAAGGCCATAGTTAGCTACTATTGAAAATATTTTTTGGTAGTGTCTGTGTTTGAATTGAAAATATATGTAATAAAAGAATTACCTGTAAGTAAGGGATCACTTTACAGAGGGACTGTCCGAAGAACCAGGTCTCTGTGATATCGACAACCAGCGTGGCCGGAAGGCAGGTGATGGTCACCAGCACGTCAGCCAGAGAGAGGTTGACGATGAAGTAGTTGGTCACTGTCCTCATGTGGTGGTTCTTCCACACAGCCACACAAACTAATGTGAGAAGGAAAGGGAACAGTAAGCAAGCAAAAGAAGCAGGGATGGATAGGGTAATGCTGTCTATCTGGCTAACACTTCTTAAAGTCCCTACAGTGAAAAGGCAAGGTCATGAAACCTGTACTGTTTTAAACTGAACTAGTCAATCTGTGTGGATGGCTGAGTTACATGCTCAAAAATCTGTTCATTTGCCTTGCTAAATAATTTTCGATCAATCATAAGGCTGTGTTTTTTTCCACTGGAGTTTGAGTTGCAGCTATCAGAACTTAAATAATAATCTTCTATTTAGCCTCGATTTTGCCAGCACTCAGCAATGCAGAAGGGCCTCAAAAAATATTTGATAGTTAAGATGAATTAGCAGCCAGTGGTTTTCAACCAACTGTTATGGTTTGCAACATCCATGATCTTTACCCAAATCTGTTAAACTGCATTTGGAACTTCTAACAGAGAAAAAAGTCGTATATTTAAAAGTCAAGAGCCAACAATTATTCAGCCCCTACTATTGCCAAATACTGAGCTGGACTGCTCATATACTTAAGTTGTTTAATCCTCACAACAATCCTAAGGGAAGACGTCACCCACATGCAAATGTGAGGTAATTGAGACATAGGGAATTCATGAGACTTGTGTAAGAACACATGGCTCATGAAATAGAAAACTACAGTTACGACTGGGATTTAGTTCCAAGTGAAAAGCTGGCTTTTTCACCACACAGGCTGCCTTCTTTCATGAAAATGAGGGAGCTGTAACAAAGCACACATAACTTTTGGAAACTCTATCCTCCCTCCTTTTTATTCTTGATGGTCTCCAAACATCACCCTCGAATCAAACCTGTTTTTCAGTACTCTCACAGCGGGCCTCCCTCATTGCCTTGTAGAACATCCCCAGGTTAGAAGCTGTGCTATCTCATTCAGTTGCTCTTTCCTAAAAGAACATCCAGTTCCCCTATTCATGGTCTTCCGCTTGTCTGGTGTGTGCAAAGTTTACAAAATCACTGGCTCCAAAATTATATAGGTCTCCATGTCTATTGATGGGTTTGCTTTACTGAGAGTAGCTGTGATTGTGTCTGGGGTATTATTAACCTGTCAGAGATGTCACCCATGCACCCAAATGATACAGTGATTAGTAACCTTATAGAGGGTAGAAATTAAAGTACATTTTGTTAAACTTACATTACGGAGTAAGATTTTTCTTTTTGATTATCATGTGCCATTTATTAAGAGTCTTATATGGTAGGATATGCTTTTATCAGATTCTAAGGCTGAAATTGGCCATCAGCTACCAGTTGATGTCAATTTAATAAACTACTTAGATTTCTGATGATTTCATTTTTAATATTTCACCTCTTCCTCTAACACCTGCACATAATACCCAGAAACTCAGGTGAGCCTTAACTAGGTAAATGATACTTTATTATTTTAAAATGATGCTGTAGCATGATTTATTTCTCATAAACACTTGAAACACACACACACACACACACACACCCTAGGCAACTTACAAACACATTGTCACAGTTTGTAAGGAGAAAATTGGCAAAAAACATATTTCTGATATTTGTTCAACATATGGCCTAAATCATGGAAACTTGGATCTAGAAAAGAACATAGGCCTTGAAAAATGCAATTAGTTCTGGTTTGACTTTCAACTCTTCATATTTTGGAGATGAGGAAAAGCAGAGATGGGAAGACTGTTAATGCACTGCATCTAACTGACATTAAAGGAAGTCTATGTTCCACAAACACTCCTTTAGTACTTATTGCATGCCATGCCTGTATAAGGTACTTTAAATTATTAACTAGTTTAACAGCAATAACACCATGAAGTGAATACTATAAGCATTCTTTTCAACATGAGAAAAAAGAATAGAGAAGTTAACCTAACTTAGAAAAAAAAAAAAAAAAAAAAAAAAAACAACTATATGCACAAGAGCTTCTATTTAAATCTCATCCCCCCAACTTGGTCATCCTTACATACTCCTTTTTGGGAGGCAGGTACTGGGGACTGAACTCAGGGTCACTCAACCATTGAGCCACATCCCCAGTCCTTCTTACATACTTACATACAAGTTCTTTTTCTTGTTGAGTTGAAACCTGCTTCTCTTTTATTTCTGCTTACTCATTTTTAATTCTTTCTTAGAACCCAAGGAATAAACTTTACCTAATTATTAAACTTGTAACTGCATTCGTCTTCTAGGGCTACTTCAAAAACTGAGCATCTTAAAGCAAGAGAAATTTATTGTCTCACAGTTTTGGAGATCATAAATCAGATACCAAGGTATTAGCAGGGCTATGCTCCCTCCAAAATCTGCAGGGAAATCTTTCTTTGCCTCTCCCCAGATTCTTAAGGTTTTCTGGTTACGTGGGTGATTTTGACATTTGGGGCAGCTGCGTAAATGAAGTCTCTGCTCTGATCATCAGGTGTGGGTCATCCTGGTTTCTGTCATCACGTGGCCATCTTAGAATAATAACCATCAGGCTGGAGAGGCTCACCCTATATGACTTCATCTTTAAAAATTATATCTATAATGACCCCATTTTCAAATCAGGTCATCTTCTGAGCTAATGAAGTTAGGATTTCATCATTTATATGGTGGTGGAGGGGGCAGATTTCAAACTACAACAGTATTTATTCAAATATTTAAAGACCAGTTTTTTTTTCATTCCCTAGCCTTTGCTTCACCCTTTTAAAGATCTCCAGAATCATTATGTGCACCTGAGGGGCTCTGTATCCCACATCACCATGGTCCTTTTGTTCTGAACACACTCTAGAGGATCAGTAATGGCTCTGAATGAACCATCTGTAACTGCACACACGTTTCCAGGTGAGATCTATCCGAAGCAGCAAGGAGCAGGATGATTTCTTGGGTTGCTCTCTATTAAGACACTACAAATCTTGTAAGCTTTCTTAAGAATAAAGTCACACTTCTTTGGATCATATATGTATCTAATGACTAGAAACTGGTTTTCTTGTGTAAATGTTACACTGTCTTTACCTTTGAATCCTCAGGAGGTAAAAAGGGGGAAAATCTATAAAGAATATTACTGGGACAATTAGAAAAAAATGAATTTAGATTTTATGCCAGATTACAACTATACTATTTTAAAATAGCTTAGGTGTAGTATTTATATTATGTTCATTTGAATATTTATATATTGTGGCTATGCTTACTTCCCAGGGCTTTGTTTTGCTGGGAAAAGGAATTGTAGTTTTTCATATACAGAGTTTTGCTTACTGTCACCTGATCTATGACACATTCCAGATTATGAGTATCTTCTTCTAAATGACATATTCAAAACTGTACACACATCTCCAGGTGCAAATATCCTAAATTTTTGTTAAGCTAACATTCATTTGTTAACTCACCCATTCAAGTACAAAATTCACAAAGTGAATACCTTCTTCTTCTGATAGCATACCAAATTGATACAAAATTAAATTCACCTTTTCCTGAAATTGGAAATTTAATCTTTCCTTTTTCTTTCTACTGGCCAATGTTTGAAATCTCCAAAATATCTCCAAGCTCTATCACAATCTTTCTTTTCCTATTGCAAATACCCAATGTCATATCCATGGAACCATTAGCTACAATAGTGCAGACCACCTAATATTTTCCTCTGCAGTATATCTGTCTTTATTCCTGTGTATCTTATCTAATAATGCTATTCACTAAAATTATATTATTTTGATAGGGTGTCTCTTTTCTTCTCAACTAAGCATAAAACTCTCAGGTTACCATTCTACCATTGGGGGTCTTCCCCTTGTATCTGGCAAGGCTCCCCATATAATATTCAGACCACCTGGATAAGTTTGATATCTCACTGTTAATCAACCATATTCTATGTACAGGTCATTTCTCATGTCCTTCTTCTGCCTGGCATTGCCCACAGTTGATTTAAATCTCCTTTTCAACTAAATTAGTGCTTCCCAGAGCTATCCAAAACCAACAGAACAAAGAAATTTCTGATTCATGAACCATCGCCTAATTAGCCTAACTCACCATGGTTTCTTTCTTCTTTACAACACTTTTTCACCTTTCATGGTCATGAATTATATTCTAAAATTGCAGATCATTATGGACCCTTTTGGTATCTTTTTTTTTTTTTTTTTTTGTCTACCTACCGTCACAGAGCCTCTTTATCATTATAAGGTGTCCATTCGCTTTTCCTTACTGTTTTTTGTTTTGTTTTGTTTTTACAACCCCCGTCTCCAACCCCCAATGCTTCCTAGAACAAAACTTTGCAATAACTATTAATTAAATTGACTTTCATAAAATTATAGTTTGGTACTTTGGTATGGCACATTCTCCCAAATGAAAAGTCTTTAAAAGGAAAGGAAAACCCAAATGACAGAAAGGAGTATTTACTTTCTCCATTTCTTTTGAATGAAATCTGAGAGCTGAGAACTCAATTGCTTCTCAATGTTCTCTTGACATAGTAAGCTACTTTTTGTCATTCTCTATACACTGCCTTCTGGTGAACTTGGGCAAGTCCCAAGACCTGAATTGGATAGTATATTTGACATCAGTTCTGTGAATGACATCATATATCAATATTAAGGTCTGTTTGTAGTTTCTACAATTAAAAACCTGCACTCTCAACCAGGAACAGGGGAAAGAAATTGAGCATGAAGAGGTGAAAGAAGATAATAGAAGACCAGAATGCAGATTGCATGAAGATCTGCCTTTAACAAGGACTTTGTTGAATAGAGATTTCTGAAATGCAGATGTGCCAAGAAGATAAAAATCTACTTTCCCTTGTCTTATCATGTCTTTTTTTTTTTTAAAGAATATGATGAAAGGCAGCAGAATACAACAGACACTAGTATGGCAATATGTAAATCAATGGATGTGTAACTGATGTGATTCTGCAATCTGTATATGGGGTAAAAATGGGAGCTCATAACCCACTTGAATCAAATTGTGAAATATGATATATCAAGAACTATGTAATGTTTTGAACAGCCAACAATAAAAAATTTAAAAAAAAGAATATGAT